GCCCCCAGCCAGGGTCAACCCACCACAGCATTCGTGTGAATTAAAGTGGAATACATTTGTGATTGCTGTGTAATATTCGACAAGTGCTTTCGTAAGAGTCGCCTGGTGGAGTCCTTCGTGTATTATTTTCTGATCCTGTTGCAGATACACATAAGCTGTATTTGTAAAAGTGAAATGCAAGCACTTTAGTAATGTTTCCACAAAATGATTTTGGTTTTCCTGAGTTATCTACACATGTTGTATCTATAACTATTTTGTAAGGTAAACTTGAATTTATTTACAAATTATTATATTTAGTTATAGCATAAACCTAGAAATTCTTGATGCACATATAGAGTAATCAGATAATTGTTTCTTAAAAAGTCAAGCAACCCAAATAAAAATATAAACTTCAAAATTTCACTAGTTGAGATCATAATCCACCCAATTCGATTCCAGCAGTTGAGTCCGAGAGTTTTGCCTTTTTATTCCTACAGAATACAAATTTTTCAGTGAGTGTGTCTGATCACTTATTTGTAAGAATCTGACCAGAAAGTAATTTAAATAATTTGAAATTTTGAATTTGTTTTATGGTACTCTGGATCAGATTGGAAGGTGTTCAGATCAGGTCACATTAAGCATGCCAGTTTCTTTCACCTAGATTAGATTAAAACATTTATTCAACATACTTCTGGCTCCGGACACCAAAAGCCATACCCTAGATTGAAAACTTTGGGTTGTAGAGGGTGCCATTAACTGCTCTGTAGCTACTGCTAGCAAGAGGACAGACAGTTGGTAAAGCTCTCACTGTTAGAGACGCACATGAGTGCATCTGTGTAGGGACAGTGGAGCACAGCTTTCTGCACTGCTGAGGAGCATGAAAGTGGTGATCATGCACACGAAGCACTTGACAGATGATGTACTTAGCAAGTATGACTCTGTGCTGATAAGTGGAGCTGGTAGGGCAGAATTGCTTTTCATACCTGATCCAGCTTGTTTAGAGCTCACTCAGCTCTCTCTGCACTATTCTGCATTGCCTTCCTAGGCATCTACTCAAAATAAAGCTGAGCTCTTCATTCTTAGCCTTTTATTTATTGTCAGCAGACGCCCAAACACAACAATGTCAGTAATAAAGGAGACTGGGACTAACAAAAGTTTGCAAAAAAGAAATAAGAAGGGTAGTTAACTGCATTTTGGATAGCAATTTTCAACTCCTGCTTGGCTCTCTAGCACACATATCAAAATAGAACATTGCATTTCAGTCTGCTTACAGAGGCTAATAAAATTGAAATAGATCTCCTTCTGAGACTTCACAAAAAGTCTGATTGGCCTGATTTCCTGCATCTGGCCTCTGTGTGGGTTTTTCTTAGACTGATAAAGAATGCACTCTGATATTCTTTTTTTCTTTTTTAAATTCGACTTGGAAGGATACCTAGAGCATTTTAATCCATGTTTACTTTGTTTTCTGTATTATTAGTCACTAGCTTATTTTGTCACCCTTATATTTAATTATGTATATTTAGAGCAAATATAATAACTTCATGTACAGTCACTAAAAGCAGTTGAGTTACTGCAACTTAGTGAGATACTCATCAGAGTCACTGATTGAACACAGACTTCTAATCTATCCAAATGTGAAATAAAAAATACTGGCTTAAGCCTCCATGAAAGGCTATCTATTTCTGCAAAATACAATTTTTTTTTCATATCTGAATTGTGACGCTTTAAGTTATTTTCTAAGAACTCCCAGTATCTCCTTTTAAAAATGTGTTTTCAGGGCTCAGAAATAGTAATAATTGGTAAGTAAGAACAGAGGTAGCAGTATTAGAATTTATTGCTGTCTAAGATCACACAAAGTATATGTTTTTCTGTAAAAAGGAATAAAAGGACTTAAAACTAGCCATAGCAGTGCAGTCTGAAAGACTGACTAGTCCAGTATCCTTTCTCCAGCAGGTCTGTAGGCAGATGCTTCAGGAAAAAGAAAAAATAATGGGCACACTGCAAGTGTCTTCAACATACTTTCCTCTACTACTCTCCCAGCATCCAGCTCAGGAGACTGGTTGAGCTGAAGGCAGGCTCTGTGTATCTGGTAATCCGTCATGGATTTCTGTTCCATGAGTTTGTTCCTTCTTTCCTTGAAGCCATGTTAACTTTGGCATCCACAGTATTCTCATCACGTACAACATCAACTAGGTCATAAAAGGTTGTTTTTTTTTTAATATTAAGAAGTGTCTGTTGGTGTCTACTTATTAGAAGAGAAGAAGAAAGCAGTTAACAAGATGACAATTCTGGGAGTGGCAGGACCTATCTTTTTAAGCACGGTTCTTTGTGTAGAAATAATAAAGTTCTAATTCTCAGCTGTGAGTACACAAAAAATTGAGTTGCTAATTATCCTTTTGTGAACATTCAAAATGCTGTTACCAGCTCTTATGGAGATACTGCAAATATCATTATAGTCAGTGTTTGCCTGGCAATACAGATTAAGAGAGTCATGTGAGAGTTCTTCTTTGCATTACGAAGGGGGAAAAAGTGATCCTTAATGGATGTGACAAAATCTTGTAAAAGTGACTACTAAAGAATGAAAAACAGAGAAAACGCTAGGAGTTTTATAAAAAAATCCAGAGTGAGCCCTGGTAAAGTCCAGGTTCCAGTGAAGTCAATTTGAAAACTCCCTTACTGAAAGATGAGGCTAAAATTTCATCTATTTTTCTCAAATGCTAATCATTTCAGTGCTAATAAGTAGTCTTGCAATTACAGGAACTTATGGGAGTTGGCAGACTGCACGTAGCTTAACATTATAATCGGTATGTGCAGTCATGTGCAGCTGGGCTGTTGCAGTGTTTTCTGTACGTGGCAATAGCATGAGGTGCCTCCTCTCATCGCTGCCAGGTTAACATTATAATCGGTATGTGCAGTCGTGTGCAGTTGGGCTGTTGCAGTGTTTTCTGTACGTGGCAGTAGCATGAGGTGCCTCCTCTCATCGCTGCCAGAGCAGCTCTGAAGATCTGTAGCCTGTTTTGCTCTGCAATAGGTGAAGTTTCAGTTACGAAGGGAGCAGCATTAGGCCTGTAGTTGTGCAGCTGGTGGCAACAGGCTGGTAAGATCAGCAGTGGTGCTGCTCAGGACTAACTACTGTAAAATCACCATTTTCCTTTTCAATCCAAGCAAGAGCGAAAGCAAAAAGAGATGTGTATTTGCTTTTGAGTCATAAAAAGGAACTGCACTGGTAGAAATTCCAGACTGTTATACCCAGACAACATCTAGGAGAACAACATTGAAAAAAGCAGTGGGCAGTCGCATTAAAGACCCCTGAGGATGAACTCCATGTTGAAGGAAAGCTGCCGATGCCTTACAGGAAGTGTTAGAGTAGAAAACATGCTTCCCATAATTGTGTATCTGCACACCAGAGTAGTACTGACCAGTAAGGAATCAGCTTCTGAGCTTGCTGGAACAGATGGCAGAGCCTCCACTGACTTCATCTCACGTTGGATGGCTCCAGAAAAGTAGGAATATAGGCTTAGCTCTATGTTTGTCAAATGTATGCCATATTACTAGGAATAGAATGATTTGATGCATTGTTTCCTGATGTGGAAAGAATCAGATGGGGGGAAGTCTGCTGGATGCTATACGGAATTCTTAAAAAAAAATTTGCTTTTGCAGAACTCATTCACTGTGTGAGGATGCGTCTTCAGAACTGCAGAGAGTCATTTCTGTGGAAGCAAGACATCTATCTGAATCCCAGACGAGCTCATTCACAGGCAGGGGAGCAATGGCAAGGTAACGTGCTAACTAATACCATTTCCAGTATTAAGTTTAACTTGTTGAAAGAGACTGATCACAATTTGGAGGCAAGGTAAGAAGAACCATCAGTTTCCCAAGAACATAGATGGAGTCCAGCTGAAGAAAGTCTATAAAAAAATAACAGAAGCTGCTCAATTCTGAACTCATCACTTATTGCTAATAAAAACCTTAGTAGAATCCTAGAGGTGCTGAATGAGCTTACACAAATTAGTCTGAATTAAAAAAATAATATTATTTTTACATGATCAGATCTGAAAATATATTGAATGCTGAGTGAGGTCAGTCTGTGAAGTAAATGGGTAAGAGTTTGGTTCTGGCTGACAGCTGATGTGGTGTTTGTTTCCTATCAAATGAGACATAATTATTGTTCCCTTCTTGGTAGATGGCTCTGGCAAGGGAGGAGACAGGAGCTCTGGTGCTGGGAGTGCAAGAGTTTCAGTTTTTAGAATTCAGTTATAATTATCATGGATTGGGAGCCTTAATCAGCAAAATTCAAGTCAACTATTTGCTTAAGTCATTTACTTTACTGGAACTTAAACATAAACCTGAAGTGGAGCTTCAAAAAATTATTGCCTCTGCTTTAAATATTTCCAGCTGACACTGCAGAGCTCTGTCTTCAGATACCATTGTTACACACAGTACAGACCATACTCAGTTTAAGCATAGTGTGTTTCAAAGAGTAAAGAAAAAAATTATTATAAAACTAGAGTGTTGTTTACACTTCAGCCTTTTGGATAGTGAAGAATAAACTTGTATTTCCCTGTTTGGTTGTCAGATAGTGACACCACTGCATGTAGATTACAAAGTCTACAAGAAGTTGGTTTTAGGTGGAAAATACTTATAGGTGTGTGTTCTGTGTAAACATAAAGCACATGAATATATAAACTAATATTGAGAACTTCCTTTTTGATCTTTGTCTATATTGTTCTTTACCTTTTTCAGGATAGTTTGAATTACACGTGTGTAGCTACCGTTACTTATGCTCTGAATATACAAGGAAGCCTGTGATGAAAACACAAATTCTTAGCAATTTAAGTAATGTTTACATACCGTGCCTCTTGAATGCACATTCTCTTAGGGACCTAAGTCAACAGCATCTGATGGACTTCGCTATCTTACTTTGAGATATAAAGGACAAAAAAGTGAAAATATATAGCATGGCAGAAATCTGGAAATTCTATTTTGTTCAAATAGAGAGACTCCCAATCTTACTTGGTAAAATCTGTTTGCTCCTTAACTAACAGGTCTCATCAAAATGCTTCATTTTCTAATGTAAGTAAGAACATCCATATTAGTAGTTTTCCATACCACTCCTTATGTGAAAGCTGAGTTCTGCTACAGAGAAAAGTTCTGTAGCTTAATTTTATGCAGCTTTTTTTGAATAGAGTGAGGAATCTATTAAATAATCTCAGACTTTTATGCAGAGCTTTGCTTTTCTTTTGCGTTCTTGCTAGGCTTTGAATTCTTTTACTTGTTGGAAATTTAGATGATTTATATGATGCTATCTTGGTACAGCACAAAAGAACTAGAAGTAGCTTTTTCTAATTTCCGATATATGATATTATTCCTGCCTTTTTTGTCCTTTTTATTGCAGGGTAAGAAAACCTGGGCAAGATCTATGAGGAGGTGTAGTTAGGCCCTTGAGAACTGCAATCAAGAGGCAGATGTACTTTACCATAAGATTTAAATTGTTGATATCAACCTCTTTGTGGATTCTGAGCATATGTAATACTAGCTGATGCAGAGAGAATGTAAAGAGATTTCCTTGAGTAGCCCAAGGTCTCTGTTAGAAGTTAAGCATTGTTCAGGATTTCATTATGCTGTCGTCAAGGCCAAAGTTTGGGAAACCTGACTGAACACGACTTTTGTCTGAACTAGACTGCTGATAGGAAATAATACCATATATTGCGTGGGTAATAAATATAATCACTTTTGTAGATTTCAATCTCCATTATTTTAATTTTTTCAGAAACATTTCCTTTTGGCCTTTGACAGAAAATATTGTAAGGGTTTGTAATGTGAATTAGTGGGTAGAGAAAAAGATACATGATACAATGATAAAATAATTACATTGTCATGATTTTTTGCTTATTTCAGTGCTCTGCTAGAAATTTAGGATGGAGAAATAGTGCTTCCTATGTGGTAGGCAGGTTTATATTTGATAGACAATTAATATGTCTGCAGACAGACATTCAAATCACAGGGAAAGTGGCTGAATTTTTATCATTCCTTATTTCAAAGTCCATCCTCCCATACCAACTATTCAGCTTTTGTTTCCACTGTGTGTACCAGCCCTTGAGCATGTGATCCTGTGAGTATTTTTTATTTCCTAATTCTGTCAGTCGAGATTTCCCCCATTATCACATAATGTCAGACATTTGTCAGATGTCAACTGCCGTACCCCAACCACTTGGTTTGCCCCCACTCGGCAAGAATATTCTTCTGTTGCTCCTGTGGTGCTGGTACAGTGGACTAGGAAATGATGTGTGAAATACTTTCCCAATCCACTGCAAAAGGTGATGTATAAAATTGTGGAAAGTGACTGGGTTCATACAGTTAATTCATCAAGTTTAATTTCGTGGCAGGTGGAGAAGTGGAGAAAAATCCTCCTGGGCTACTGTTTGTGGGGATGTTTTAACCCATCTGATGTTCTTGTCTGGTTCAGTCAATGTCGTATGTCTGTTCCATGCAGGCTATCACGATTTGTTGTATCTGTGAGGTCATGGGCCGCAAGACATTTGCACCATGAAGACCAAAGACCTGATTCTTTCCTAGAGCGGTGCCGAGGGCCAGAGCTCATAGAGGTGTCCAGTAGGCAAAGTAATATCCGCTCCTTTCTGGGTATCCGTGAGCGGCCTGGGGGAGTAAACAGGTAAGAAGATGTGTTTATACTTTAAAGGAAGACGACTGAGGTTATGGTATTTTCTTGGTGATTAGGATGTAAGTTTTATTTTAAGAAGAGGGTAAGGAGCTTAGCATGGGAGATGAACAGAGTATCTAATGCTGCCGAGGAATCTTTGCATAACTGAAGTGTTACGGCTTTCAGCAGGCTTTCTCTTTCCCACTCAAATGCAGTGTGGCAAAGATCTTCAAGTAAAGGATTTTGATTATGCTGCTTCAGACAGAATCGTTTCTCAGAACTGGAATTTTAGCATATGCTACCCGTGCAACTTGATGTTGCTAAATTCCTCTCTATTGAGAATGAATGCAATTTTTATATCAAGAATTTAGAGTGTTGCTAGTTGTGGCTTTTCAGGACATTAATGTTACGCACATTATCTGCGAGTGTTAGGAAACTCCAAACAAGCAGTTGTGCAAAATATGTCATTGCTTTGTTACACCTACTCAGGAGTTTAGCTGTTAATGTTACAGAAGACTTCTGATGCAGGAATGAGAAAATCTTTCCACTGCTGACTTATTAGCATATACTTAGTCTAGGGTATGGAAGGCATTGTATTAATGTTTTATGTTAATTTTTTTCCAATAAAACAACAGAGGCTTGCCAGAGAAACCTTTATGTGTTTATAGTCTTTTGACTTGATGAGTTATTATTACTTTATAAATATATGATACAAAGTTTTAAATTTAACTCCAGTTAAAGAGGAAAATAAAGTCCCAAGACAAAAGTTGACTTTCTGTTTGGCATTATGCTTTGAAGCATAGACTCCCATATTTTTGTGCTTAGTTAAAGATTGGTAGGTAAGCAAGTAATAGGTTGATTTGTTTCAAAATCTCAGCTAGTCATTCAGATTAAAGCAGGAGCCTTTGAAGGGCTATGCATGACACAGGTTACCTTGATTTATGGTGGTCCAACACAGCCTTATTATCTTCACTTGATCTACTCCTTAGAAATTCAGCTCAAAAGTGTATTTTCTTGAATTAGCCAGATGATTGTTGTCTGATTTTTCAGACATCTGTATCAGTAGCAACTGCAGATTTGAAGTAATTAGAGAGGACAACACTGATCCTGGGCCAACAAACCTCTGTATAAGGCTATTAGAAGTGAATTTGGGAACACCCATCCTTGCCTTCTCTGTTTTACACTGTTGCCGCATGACAGCAACTCCCAGTTGTTCTATCATGAAGGCTTAATTCTGCAGCAATGATGCTTGTTACTTATCCACAAGCCTTGGCACTACATCTGTGAAGAAGACTTGAAAGGATTGAAGAAAGCTTGAAATAGTAGCCAAATAAGTCCAGGGCTAAGAATAGTGAGATGCATATTGCCATGCACTAATATGCCTGAGAACAAGCTTCAGACATCAGATGTGATCACAAATGTGTATGCTAAGCACATGGTAAAAAGAAACTGGTGCCTTGAAATAGTTATGCAAAGGGGCTTATCACTGCAGTCAAAGTTGACCTTCCTAATCTTATCAGTGCGTATGTGAGAAGCTAGTAAATCAGTCCGTCATGTTGGTAAACACGTGTATGAAATACCAGCAGTCTTTACACTCTTTAATGTGTTTTATTTAACTTGCGGCAGTCACTGGCCCTTGGCCAGGTTTAATGTCAACTATAGCAACAACACCAACGAAGAGTAAGTACTGATAACTTCCAAACACCTTTCTACTACTAGCTCCTTCTCTTTTTCCCTTTCCGGCCTAGTAACATTTGTAGTATAAAGTCCTTATCTCTTCCTAAGCCTTTCCTAAGAATATAGTTTAATTCTAAAGGAAGATCTAGTTTTCTTAGTATGAGAAGCATCCTTCCTGCTCCCTGTGAACTTCTTTTTGTCTGAAGTTACCCTTACCTCTCAAGGAGTGAATTTGATTAAACATTTAGTCCCTACCTCCTCTAGTTCAGCTGGCTGATTTTGCTGCATTGCCAATTGATTTATTAATTCTTCAGTTTTTAAATGAGATTCATGTATTGACTTTCTAATAGTGATTTTCCTGTTTTGACATCCTAGTTCCTTTTTGCAAATCAAGTGCCCCAAAAATTTCAGGTTGTCAAATGAGAAGTGGATACTGATCAGAGTACCAAGAAAAGATGCATGTGTGCAATCTAAATGAAAACTAGCTGTCTTTTTAAAATGTGTGTTTCAGTTCAGCAGATATTGTTTGTGTACATGTAGAGAGAGTGACAGGCACCATAACAAGGCTTGCATTGCAACAGAAGCTCTGACACAAGCTGTCCTTTGGAGTCTATTTTATATATTTGACAAGCTATTTCAGTGTGTTACACCAAAGAGAAATCTCTTGAAAAGTTGAAGAGCTCCTGGAATTTAAGATCACCCGACCCCAATGTTTGTTGCATGTCTTAGACCACAGCTGAGGATGTATCTGCTCTGTGGCATCCAGCAGCAGACCTGTTCTCACACATGATGATAGTTAATTTTTTTTCATTGCTTTCCAGATGAAAACAACAATTAAAAATAATCAGGACAGCTTCTGATTATGTCAGAAATAGTTTTAGGAAACTCTTGGGTTTTTCTGCAAATAGTTCCATCACGGACTGGCTCAAACTGTACATTTTAAATGATGCTGCAAAACCTTTGTGCACATACCTCAACAAGAGGTCTTCCTGCTCCTGAAGCAACGTTTTGGTTTGGTTTGCGTAAGTTTTATTAAAAAGGGAAATCAATGTGCAGTCAACAGTGACAGAGATGTGCAGAATTTTGTTTAGATTGGTATAAAAAAATACTAAAAGCCTGGAGCCTAGCCTGCTAGTCAGGGCCCAAAGGACTGATTAGGATGGAAATACTGCTTTCTTACTCTGTTTCTGACAATGACTCATGTACCTTGGGCAAAACTTTAATCCTTCAAATGTCTCATTATTTTTAAATGAAGACAGCACCTGTCTGTCTACCTGCCTGACAGTCTGAAACATAGTTGATTTGCAAAGTACTTGACTGTTGAGAAATGCAAATACTTGACTCATTCAAAGACTATGACGGTGTTTTTATAGGGGCTGATGAAGACATGGTTTCTAAGTCTGAAGATGCCTGCTCCTTTTAACATGCTGGAAACACAGAGTGGATGCCACTGTATTGCTGTAAAAGAGGACAGGCACAAACAACTCGTTTATTAGTTACTGGATTCCAGTTTACTCAGTAGCACTGATAAAGAAGAAAAGATGCAGGTCTTTTTGAATCTTTGGGTTTTTCATTATGTTAAAGACCTAAGAGTGCCTGCCCTTGGGGAACTGTAGGTGATGATTTCAAGTCTTTGGTTATGGCCAGCCTTTTCCTCTGAGTAACGTCCACTGCCAGACTACAAGCAGATGAGAGTATGGTAACTTGGGAATTACCACTATAGAGAAATGAACAGAGGTCACAGAAATGGAAGAATCTTACTTATGAAAGATACCTGTAGTTGACAGATGAGTTTATAGGACATCTCAGGCCAGAGAAAAAGAAGTATTGGCTTAGATGCTATGTGACATAATGTTTTTTCTCATTTTTAAAACAAAAAGGAAGAGGAAGTTGGATTTGTCAAAATAGTCTCTCCAAAGTTCACCACCACTGAGACTTTTTGATTGATTCTCTTTCTCAACCTACTTTTCCCCGCATAACAACATCCACAAATGTACAGTGGCCCTACCCTTTGAAAATTATGTTTACTCTTAGTTCTTCCTTTCTGGTAAGAATGCCAGACATTTGAAGTATTAAGGAGCTATGTTAATGCTAACAGCAGCAACTGTGAATTGGCCTTTAGATCAGGCACCATGCATGGTAATGAGCAGTGAAATCCTGACATGTTTTTTTAAATACAAAAGAGTTTTTGGGGCAGATTTGAAAGAGAAGCCATAAAAGTCCAGCGAGGTCAGAGGCAGAGAAATAAATCCTTGAGTGGCAGTTCCCACTGCTGTGTAGAAATCAGCCTTGGTAGATGGAAAACTGTTTCTTTGAGATGCATGTATAAATAGAAGATCAATCAACCCAAAGGCTCTTTTCTCCTCCAATTATGCTTCCTTGCAGTGTATAATTTTAAAGGTTTCAATGGTCAGCTTGGTAGGTATTTCCCTGGACACGGAGGAGTGCAGGAAGTCAGAATTTTTAGCAAATGAGTCTGGGCTTTTCTGAATTACATTGTGGTGCTGCACAACTTATGGAACTATGGAAGTGTCTAAGGGTACGAATTGGAATAGGTGCTCATTGCTGATAGGTGAAAGCTACTACTAGGCCTATTATATTTATCTTAAGATTGGTGACTGTTGTCTTCTCCCTTGGAGTGCTTTTTTCTCCCTGTAACAAGCACATTCATAGACAGGACTGCCATTCACATCGTAGACTTTTTCTGTTCTGAGTAATATGAGCAAGTATGCATGAAAAGCACAAGTGAGCTCACTAAACTTTTTACCTGTTGATTCAAATCCTGTAAGCAGCACTTTTTCAACTGTTATTATGTATTCTGCCTTTGCTGTGGGATGTTGCTGTCATTGAACTAATTCGTCCTTTATTGACACTAGTGCAAGGGGAGAATCAGACCCAGTCTTGGCAGTTCAGAGGAGAGCATGAAGCTCCCATGGGAGCAGGAGTCCATGGCTTTCATCCAAACCAGACCTTATGTGTAGAGAGTTATGTTTATATATGCATTATTCACATACACTGTAGTGTCAGAAACATTTAGGCTTTTCTGTCTAACTAATGTGGACACTTTCTGCTTCAAGGAATAAAGAAATTTCAAATACATAACAGGGAAATCTCAGTTGATGGATTTTCTGCTTGTGCAAATGAGTGCAATTCTTCAGCTTACATGATTCTTGACCAATGCATGTAGCAAATTTAGCTTTAAGATTAAGTGTTGACAGAATCTCAGGAAAGACATTAACTTTCTGCAGTTTTGAAGAGGATCCATAGGCCTGTCTGCATAAGTTAACACAGTTCAAGATTTTTCTGTTCAGACAAACGTAAGAATGGGGGAAGTCAGATCCATCTTTATATCTGGCTTATCACATTCTCATGTGATAAAGGCTGTACATACATGAAGAGTATGAAAATCCATATCTGGAATTAAATCTTGCAGCTTGGATCTGTGCTGGATACTATGGAATGATAGGATATCATTATGTTAAACAGTCCATATTTGACTTTATTGAAAGAAAAAGCAATTAATAAACACAGGTACAATCGTGATTCCATTAAGTCTAGGAAAAATTCCCACTGATTTTAGGAAGGATGGAACTTCATGCTTAATTCTCAGCCTTTGAATACATTAACAATCAAATACAGGCAGAGCAACTTGGGCATGGCTTCTCTGACCAAACATAGACACCTGCATCTGAACCAGGCAACCCATTCTTCCTTTACAGTTGATGGAAAGAAAAAAATGCTTTTAGGGCACAAGTCACCTTGTAGATATGGACTATGAAATATGGACTATCTTGTAGATACAGTAGATCTCTACTGTAAAGATCTAAAATAGGTTGGCTTAGTCATCTTGACTATAAAGTGCTTGTAAAATAACTAGTATGTAGTTAAATGAGACACACCTCTTTTCTCTGCATTTGCTGCTTTTGTTCAGACATTGACTGGGATTCTTCTCCAAGGCAATTGTTGAAGCCAGAGGTAATTAATTAATTATAACTATGCTGGTTTTAAAGAACTGTGAGAGGAAATTCAGCCTTATTTCATTTAATTACCATTAACTCTTCAGACAGTCACTGTGAGGTTTTGGACATGCAAAGAATGTTGACAGTTTGTTAAGCCATTTCAAGTTCTATTATCATTTAATAGATTTCTTTTTAAATGCCTGAGTTCTAAAGAAAGACACAAATGGGAAGCATTTAATTAAAATCAGCCTGGTACACTGATATCTGAAAAGGTCGAGAAGGTGTGAGTGACTAATGCACAGAATCAGCCAGCTGGTTACCTGATGTAATGGTGATGGTCGTGTCAGCTCGAGAGGCCCCAGCCTGTAAACTGTTTTTAACCAGTTGGATGGATGTTTCCACTGAGAAACCCTGTCCTGTTCTACCTGGAGTCTAGTCTAGTTTCCTGTACCTCAACATCCACCCTCTCCCTTAACTGCTAGAATATTGGTAATACTGCTAAGCCTTACATTATGTTGTACAGCAAAAAGGAAGAAAAGAAAGAGGTTAAAGAGGAGAAAAAAGAGGAGAAAAAAGAGGAAAAGAAGGAGGAAAAGAAAGAGGAAAAGAAAGATGACAAAAAAGATGATAAAAAAAAAGAAGAGTAAGTATAAAGAATGATTGTGTGCTTGTAACACACCTCCTACACTACAAAGCATTGTATGGCATTTCATCGTACCACTTCCACAGCAGTTATTGTTCTGTAGGCTGCAGAAGGTTAGCCTGTCAAATCTTTAATATGTTTTCCCCTTTAGAAAGGTGCAACTGTCCAACAAACGTGTTGCATCTTTAAGACTGGTGTTTAGACCTGTCACAAACAGCTTCCTAGGTCAGTAAAAGGGAATTCAGCTCCCTCTGGTCGTTTTGATTTGCTGTTGAAGATCACTTTTTTACTATGAGGGCATTTTAGGATAGCAGCCTGCTTCACAGATCTACACAGGCTTTTCATTGTTCTAGAATATCCATAATGATTCGGAGCAGATGAATCAAAAGTCTGGTTTGGACAAAGAGCAAAAATCTTACATGTAGAAAATTACAGATGTACTAATAAGTTTAGTTACTGCACTGACTAGCAGGTTTGATTACTTAATATGGTGCACTTCATGACTAGTGATTACTAAAGTTTGCTTCTGCTGATTAGGAGACACTGTATTTCTGCAACAAAATGAGATAATTTGAATGCTTTTGACAGAAATGAATCCTGCTCATTTTGTTCCCCCAAAGCTGACCCAAACGTAGTACAATTTAGTATTACCAGTCATTAAAAATAACAATAATAGCAGATAAAAAGAGAATGCATTTGAGTGGACTTCACAGTTAAGGAGTACATTAGAGTAATATACTGCAAGTTTGTATGTATGTATATGGTGGCATGTGCTTTGTAGACATTCTAGTTAGGAACGGCTTCCAAATGGAATTTGCTTGATCTCAAGATCTTGACTTTCTTAATCAAAGCTTTGATTAGAAAGCCTTCGTTCTAAGGATTCTCTTTCAGCTTCAACTACTATGTAGTGAGAGCCCGAGTTTTGCAGAAGCCTAAAGCATTTTAAAACATTTCAGCAAAGAAAATAAATGTTTTAATGTCTAGAAGGTAGTGTACTCTGTCATATGAAGACCGTATTTCATGGTCAGCAATTTTGAGGTGGTGACCAGTTTTTTAGAAGAAATGCCTCAAAACCTGTTGTGAAGATGGCAAAGTAAATACTTTTTAGATTAAAACTATGTCCTTTACTAACATTATCATCTGGACATTCAGCTGATAGCAGGGATAATGCCAGAAATGCACACAAATACGAAATAAAGTATCATTACGTTTTAATATATTTACATTCTTGGAGATAAGGAAAAGTCACACGAATACATATCCAGGCATTGCCTGATCACATATTCCCCACACTACTACACAGCTTACAGATCACACTGTCACATGTTACTGTTGGAACCACTTCTGCAGCTGTGGACCTCACAATCCACTAATACGTATTTCCTCTGATTACTTACAACATGCCTAATTGCTGTCTATTCCATATCAGTCTTTCTCGTGCTGGGGAAGGGTATTTCTGAGCGTACTCTACATGTGCCATTAGCCATGCTGTTCTTTAAATCTTCTTTAAATTCCAGGCCTGTACGCTTCATTTAGCATCTCTCATTGTTGTGAGGCCTAGGGAGCCAGGGCTGTGAATGCGTGAAATTTGCTTTCACATAATAATACATGTTTCTATTCTAGTCACACACTGTATGTGTGTATGCACACACAGAGGCTTACTTGTGTAAACATGTATTTGAATACATATGTGTTTTACTTGTTTAAATATGTGCTCATACAGTCATTTCCGTTATAGGATTTTCCAAAACCATCATAATTAATCTGCAAAGGAAGGCTCTTTCTCTAGAAATGGACCATAGCCTTCTAGCTGGAATGATAATAAGAAACATCTAATGTTTTACTTTTGTTTCAGTGGGGTCATAGGCAGACAGGCTGTGGTTTTTCAGCCTGGACAGTGTGAATGTCTGTGTTTCTCTTCCCACTCTTACTTTTTCCAAAGCTGGGTCAAGCAAAGATGGGATGAAGCTACTATTTGGTATCTCCCCTGGAGCTGCCTGCATGGATACTTTCTCTTCGTAGGCAGCTGTGAGTTCATCCTGAGATGAGCAGCCTCCAGAAGAGGGAGATCCAGCAGGTCGCTTCATTACATTTCCAGCGTAAATCTGCATGTTTTACTTTCCAGGAAGAAAAAAGAGATCTTTGTGATAGATCCTTCAAGCAATATTTACTACAACTGGCTGACTGTAATCGCAGGACCCGTGTTCTATAACTGGTGTATGCTAGTGTGCAGGTATGGATTTAAGTTAATAATAATTTTAGGTTTCAAATTTAGTGTCTCATGTTTCCTATGTAAATCATCCTCTTATCTCCCTGCGGTATTTTTTGGGTGTCTTACCTAGAAGATTTGCAGTTCATATGCCCTTACGGATATACAATCTACATACCACTGGGAATAGATGGCCAATGTTTCTTTTTTATCTTTTTGTCTAAAACCAGTTTGTTGTTCACTTGCAATGAACATCCTCACGAGCGTTGGCTGTGGCTTTTGTGTGCCACCTGCTGGCTAGCTGAAGAAGATGGGCCGCAGCCACCGTGGGCTGAGAAACCATTACTAGATGGGTCTTCCAGTCACCTGGGCAGTGTTGGGTCAGCTTAAATTAATATGTCATGCATCTATAGATGCTTGAAGGGCAGGAAGATTTTACTCAAGTATTTATTTTCCCTTGTAAAATGTGGAAATCGGTTGGAGTCAAAGTAACAGAGTGCTGTGGAAATGGTTCACTTAGGCTATGTCAGATGGCAGGGAGAGATGAGGATGGCTTGCCACTCAGAAACATAACTTGTATTTGGAAATTATTTTAATGGAGATGTGTATCCCATGAAATCTGGTGCATGTCTAATTGTAGGGATATGTGTAGTCCTCCATAAGTGCACTTGGGTGGCATATGTGTTTGAGTTTTGTTCCTGGCCTGAACACCTTTGAATTCTGAAAGATCCTAGTGTCTATTTAGACATAGCTTTAGTGTGCAGATGTCTAGGCATGGAGATATGCTGCCTGTAATTTTTCAGTGCCAGTAATGTGCACTAACATGCTGCTAGGACATACATTGCGAGTACTCTTCTTATGCACTTGGTGTCATTTATTTTTTTTCCCTTGTATCTTTGTTTCTTTAGAGCCTGCTTTGACGAACTACAAATTGACCATATTAAATTATGGCTGGTTTTGGATTATGGCTCTGATATCATCTATGTTCTTGACATGTTTGTCAGATTCAGAACAGGTGAGTCTGTCTGGGGTTTTACAGTGTTTTCAGATATGGCATGGTTATAAAGGCTGGAAACAGAAGTTCCCCTGTGGGGTCTGACCAGTGTAGTACCCTGTCTCCAGCAGAGCCCAACAGTGGGGCTTTGGGACGATGAAGTGTCTGATCAGCTTGGATTGTTTGAAGGCTGGACATCCTAACACCTCCACTTAACTTGTTTATAAATTCAATTCTATCAGTGCTTAATAGGCATGCCAGATGCTGACTGAAGAGCTGCTGTAACAGCCTGTGTGGGGAAGGGAGAATAAGGCACTTTGTATGTCATGATCACTCTGTGCATAATATATTGCTTGTGCTCCTTTGAGTGCGCAAGAAACCAATTGCACCCCACAAGTGCTGCTTTTTTAGCTATGATTTCATATTTGAGCGCACCCAGCTGATACAGATTCTAGCCTTAAAGGTATATCTGTTTTAAACTATACAAGGTCATAATATAGGCCTAGGCCATAACAGTACCATTACATTTCTAGAATAGTCCTTGATGTACTTTGGTCTATGCCAGCCAGCACTCTCTCAGGCAGTGTCAGGGCACAGCTGGAAGGACAGCAGAAGTTGGGTGTTGTTCATGGTGTCATGTTTGGAGGGGGCAGGGAGAATTTACACATGAATAGAAGCTGTCATGGTAGCTGGTCTCAGGGCCAGAAAATGTTTCCTGGCTTGTTCTATTAACTGGTACAGATGCAGCTCCCAAACGTCCCTTGAAAGGGTCCAAAACCTCACTGATCAGTATTAAAATAAGACTTCTTTTAATTCTTTGATTTTTACATTTTCTTTTTTCTTTTTTTTTTTTTTTTTAAATCATGCTGACAGCTTGACACTAGTTATGGCTTGTGACAAGTTGTAAACATGTTACAAGACAGAGGATAAAAATGCTGTCATGTTGGGAAGCACAGGACTCATGGCAAGCCAACTGCTTAAACTCAGTAAATTCCTTGTTCGACAGGGAAGTCTATTTCAGATAGCAGCCTAAGTCACCAGACTCCTGTATTTGGGGTGAGGGCGGGGGGGCTTCATCTTCTTTGTGTAGTTAAAATGTCAACTGTGCCAACTAAATTTCTCTTCTGCAGTTACATCTGTTATTGTTGTGGGAAAGAACCGAGCAGAAATTGGACATGGCCAGGCAATGCAAGTTACAAAATTTCCATAGGCTGTCCTGATAATGCTTGTATGGCTGTTAAAGCGTGGTTAGGTTGGTTTTGCAGGCCTGGATTGAAACTGCAAAATTGCCACAGAGATTTCCTGAACGCTTCGGTGCAGGTGTCTCCTGCAGTTTCAGGCACTCAAATAAGGAAGTTGCTTCTTTTAGGTGCCGAAATCTTTGTCAACTCTCTTAACAACCCCTCGTGACTCTGCTTGTGCCTGCTGCCTTCTCCTGTAAGTCTGCAAGGTCCATCTGCCCTGCGGACAGAGGTCCTGGAACCATTTGGGGGAACGGTATGACTCCCCGCTGTCTAAGGGCAGGGACTGGCTTTGAACTGGGATCTAAGTAGCCCCGTAACTACCATGATCCACGCCAGCTACTCTGTGGTGCACCCTTGTCTAGCTGCAGGGCCAGTTTCACTGCATTATTTCACCTATCTATCTGGTGACTATGCGGTGTGAAGCAGAAAAGATTCATGTCTTTCAGCAGCTGGTCGTGTTTAGAATATCCTGCGTTTTGATGCTTTCAAAAGGTTTTACTATAGGAATTCAGTTCTGTGAGGGGTCAAAAAAGAGCTGAGGGGCTTTTATCTCCCTTCGGGAGGAAGCTGTTTTCAAAGTTATTTTAAATAATTGTGCGTCAGAAATTCATCTGCCTGGCCAACTTTTCTGATTAGTTGCATAACTCTGTTAATAAGGCATATTTGACCAGTTTTTTCAGCAGTTTTCTGGGAGGTAACACACTCACAGCACGGGAACTACTTCCATTTGTAGTCACCATCAGTTTGCAGATCTTTGAAGACAGATACACACATACACATCGTACATGTTTGTACAGACAGAGACACATTGCGGAAATACGGCCGTGCTGTGGAGGGCACAAAGAAATGCAGCTTGGTCTTCCACAGCAGCTGCTTCCCTGAGAAAGCTGCTGCTTGTAGATTGCTAAGGGATTAGCAAAATGTGATAATCCCTGATACACAGGGAATGTTTTGCTTTTCTCTCGGTGGACTTTTCCTCTTGACTGGCCTGGCGGGCAGAGAGTTGGACATCTCCACTCGCAATTGCAGCAAGTTATTTTGCAGTGTGTAGGCTGCTCCCTGAGGAACGTTTTCAGTGCCTGGAGCTTTCAGAGGTACAAACCAGCACTGCAGCTGTACTGCTCAGGCAGCCGTTCTATGAGAACTCTTACACAGATGCAGTTTGCCTTCAGGTCTCTTACCACAGTTGATATCTTCTTTTTTTTTTTTTTTTAATCTAATACTTTCCAAAGTCTTTTGAATGAAGAAATACCAATGTACAAAATTCTACTTAGTAATTCTCTCACTAGAAACACACACAAAAAAAGCAAATAATTTTCCCCAAATAAAAAGGAAAATCCTGCCAGCTTTAACATGGGACACAAGAGGAAAAGCATGGCTCGGGGGGAGAAAACACTGGATTTCTTTATCTCAGGGTAATCTATATTGTTCAGAAAAAGTTTCCAACTATCCATTATACCTACTTATTCTTGGTATTTATTTAAAAATATCCCACTCCAATTTTATACACAATTGCTTAACACTTGCTTAACTTTAGCTATGACTCATGCCAATGATTCATGAAAAATGAGGCATTTGAATCTCCCCTTTCTTTTTGCAAAGATACCTAAAAGAAAAAGATAACAGCTGTCCCAGAATAGAGTGGAAAACCGCAGGGAGCACTGTGGTAATAATAGAGTCATTGCTCTTTATCATTATATGTCAGCTTTGAAATGTAATTGAAATATTTAAATTGGCAATTAAATATTTTTCACTAAATGAACTCATATCAATGTCTGCATGCATAACAGTACACATTTTAATGTTGTCACTCAGGTATCTGAAATGTAAGTAAGTCACTTGGTACTGTTGATGGTGTTTTTATTCTAAAAAGTAAAATATGTGTTTTTATTCTTTGAAGGCTTCCTTGAACAAGGCTTGCTAGTTCAGGATGAAAAGAAATTACGAGATCACTATACCAAAACTACGCAGTTCAAACTGGATGTGCTGTCTCTTCTGCCAACAGACCTGGCATATTTGAAGTTTGGTTTGAACTACCCTGAACTGCGATTTAACCGCTTGCTGAGGATTTCTCGGCTGTTTGAGTTTTTTGACCGTACTGAAACCAGGACAAATTATCCAAACATGTTTCGTATTGGAAATCTTGTCTTATACATTCTTATCATCATCCACTGGAACGCGTGTATATACTTTGCGATTTCGAAGCTCATCGGATTTGGAACTGACTCTTGGGTCTACCCCAACGTCTCCATTCCAGAGTATGGGCGCCTGTCCAGAAAGTACATTTACAGTCTGTACTGGTCAACGCTCACGCTGACAACCATTGGAGAAACACCTCCCCCAGTGAAAGATGAAGAGTATCTCTTTGTGGTCATTGACTTCCTGGTGGGTGTGCTGATCTTCGCTACCATTGTCGGTAACGTGGGCTCCATGATTTCCAACATGAATGCCTCCAGGGCAGAGTTCCAGGCCAAAGTGGATTCCATTAAACAGTACATGCATTTCCGAAAAGTGACTAAGGATTTGGAAGCCAGGGTTATTAAGTGGTTTGATTACCTCTGGACCAACAAGAAAACAGTGGATGAGAAGGAGGTTCTAAAAAATCTGCCTGACAAGTTGAAGGCTGAAATTGCCATCAATGTCCATTTGGACACACTGAAGAAAGTGCGTATATTCCAGGATTGTGAAGCTGGACTTCTTATTGAGCTGGTGCTCAAACTGAAACCTACAGTCTTCAGTCCTGGGGACTACATTTGCAAAAAGGGAGATATTGGGAGAGAAATGTACATTATTAAAGAGGGAAAATTGGCTGTGGTGGCAGATGATGGCATAACCCAATTTGTCGTCCTGAGCGATGGCAGCTACTTTGGTGAAATCAGCATCCTCAACATCAAAGGTAGCAAATCTGGCAACAGGAGGACAGCCAACATAAGGAGTATTGGTTATTCTGATTTGTTCTGCTTGTCTAAAGATGATTTAATGGAAGCCCTCACAGAGTATCCAGAAGCCAAAAAGGCTCTGGAAGAGAAAGGGCGACAAATTCTGATGAAAGACAATTTAATAGATGAGGAAGCAGCAAAAGCAGGAGCTGACCCAAAAGACTTGGAAGAAAAAGTAGAAAGACTTGAAACAGCTCTGGATACGCTGCAGACTAGGTTTGCCAGGCTCATGGCAGAATACACCTCATCTCAACAAAAGGTGAAGCAGAGACTTGCCAGGGTAGAAACCCGAGTGAAAAAATACGGTAGTGGTACTTTATCAGTTGGAGAATCAGAGGCTGGAAAAACCGAGGAGGAGAAAAAGAAGTAATGGAGTATTTATATTTCCTCATTTACTGGAGAGGGTTGAAGCACGTGAAAGCCATAAATGTATGTAAATACATGTGTGCATACATAGACATGATTATTTTTATATGAACTCAGAATGGTTTTTAGCCTTTTTAACTGAAGCAGTATTTTCTTGTAAATAGAACACTGTCACCTTCTTAGGGGGAGATTTGGTCTGGCATTTGGGTACTTTTTTGTACTGGGAGTGGATTTCTTACAAGACATGCTCAGAACATCTGTTGTGTATGGTATGTGTAGGTCTTGACACATTGTCTCTTCCCATGCATGTTGTATTAAGAAGGCATTGTACTTAAAGTAGAAGGGATGGAGTTTTTTTTTTTTTAAGGGCTTAAAAAATATTTATAGGGTACATGCTCTACCTTGCTACCATAGTAGCCCATTAAATGCATGGACGCACATCTGGGCTTCTCAAAAATCTTTGTTCTTTCACAGTGAAGCGTCTGCGCAAACAGTTGGACTGCAGCTGAGCAGCAGCATGTACCTGACCTATGCGGTGTAGCCCTGCACGAGTTTGAAATAGCTGTGCATCCAGATGCATTAGTCTGATTCTTCCTAATGAGCTGGGCTCCACACAAAGGATCATGCTGACAGAGTAGCAGTGCTCATTCACGTCCTCGCTGACATGGTCTGCGACAGCCTTTGCTTCTCTGCAGCTGCTTCACTTGGGGAGAGAGTAGGAGATCCCCCTCCCCCCCACCTTTTTTTTGTGCAGCCCCATCCACACTGGTAAACCAGTCACCTGGAAGGGAGTCCCCAAAAGCTGACTGGTGAAAGGCATCTGTGGCAATATGGCTTCACTGAACTGTGGGGAAGAGAAAAGAGGGTCCTGGTCCATGCAGCTCCTATAGGTAGGGTCTTGAATTAATTCCCTTTCAGTAAGTGGGCAGTCCTGGAGGGAGGCTACCATGAAACTGCATGGGCAGGCAGGTTCAGCCTGTTGTCCTCCCCCCCAGCTTTCACCTCCAGCAGGGTTTCTGCAAGGCAGGGAGAACAAGCTCTGTCTTGCAAAGTCTTTCCTGCTACTAGGCCTATGTTTTCTTTCTCTTTATTTTATTTAATGATGCCTACTTCATCTCCTTTCACTGTTTAGTGCCAGCTTTTCTCCGAAGTAGTTGTCGCACTACCCTGTTTCCATTAGTCAGGGAGAACGAAGGGCACATTTGCTTGGGTCTTGCTGATAGGAGCCTACTTGTGCTGGTTGCTTTTCTACAGAGAAAAGAAAAACTACTTGCTGCAGAGTAGTTGTCTCTGCCGACAGCCTGGCTCTGAGGTGAATACACAGGTCTGGTCTGCTCAGCCTGCTGTGACAGTCAGGGCAGAACGGTATTGAGAAGGTTTCTTGCTCTGTCACGCTGCAACATCAGGATTTGCCTCTTACACACTCCTCTGAGCCTCCTCTGTCCCGCTGCTTCCAGTTTCTTTCCAGGCTTCTCTTGCTCCCACTGAGGGGATTTCTCTAATACTCTCCCACTAGGAAGATGCTAGTTTTCATTTCTTTCTGTACAGTATTTTTGTGTCATGTAGCTTCCCCTATGTTACTTTTAGCCTTGGGTACCTCACTGATTAAAGAAGAGTTTGGAGTAACAGAGGCTGTTCAGCATCTATGGCGTTGGGGCTGGATCCTCCAGTCGCATTAGATATTACCATGGGCAGTGCTCCACCTTTTATTTGTCCTCGGCCCTGATTTAGGAGCCCTAACAGCACGTGGGTCAGACGGCCTGTTGGAAAATTTCTGAGAAACCCCCAGAGAAGAGAGCAGCTTAATGAGATGGCAGTGAAATGAAAAGAGGCGGTGGCTTTGCTAGACTGAGTACAACCACCCAGGGTGTGCACTCAGCTCTGGGCCGGCAGCTGTGCCCCTCCTGTCCACAATTTTGAGCCTGATGAGAGGCACAAAGCTGACAGTGACTAAGGAACAGGGCTTTGCCAGCAACACTGGCAAAGGGGCCACCAGGTAGTAGATGTCCACGCATGTCCCATGTCCAAGCTCCTGTTCTCATCAGCCTAGAAGCCAACTAAACTATAGGCTGGGCTTAACCTCTATAATCAAGATTTCCACTGACTACAACGAGGGCTTTGGAAACCAGCTGAGACCCACGTGTGGCCAGCAGAGTTCTGGAGTTTTGGTCCTTCAGTTGAATCCCATCCTTATTTTCTCCAAGGGCTTGAGGCAAATGGGGGAGGCAAGGGAGGCTGCTTTTGGCAGGGGTCTAGCGCCCTCGCTCCCGCAGGGAGCAAGGCAGGGCTGAGGCGTTGGCTAGTTGCCATGTACCACAGTGAGCACAGACGGTGCGGTCACAGGCTGCTGAACTTGCAACTCTCACCTTGTAACAGAGGCAGGTACCGCACTTGCCTGCGGCTGACGTTCACTGTTGTTATTCCAACACCATACCCGGTAGGGTTTTCATACTTATGTTCTACATCAGTCATCATTCTCTGTAAATATCTGTCTACCCAATGTACTACAGCTGTTCCAGCCCACTAGGTATATACAAATAGAACTGTTAAAAGTATTATTTATACCAAATTGATACCTGTTAAAAAAAACCCCACAGACACAAGAATGCTTCTTTACCTGATGGATCAGAACAGCTTGATCCATCAGTTACTGTTTGCTCTTCCCTTTTCCATGCCTGTTGGTCTGGTTTTTCACATACCAGAAAAAGAGCTATTTTGATGCTATTTTCCTCAGTCACTTCAAAATATATAGGTTTTGGCATGATGAAATCGCATCCTTTGACGTCTTTCATCTAAGATGTTTTTCCCCTTCTTTCACGTGGCTACAGCATGTACATTAAAATATTCTGAGTAATGATCAAGCAACCCTGTGTTTTCTCTTATCCATATCCCTCTGGATTTTAGCATTTCATGACAGAATTTGATAATGCCAATATAACATGGCCCAGAAAATCATTAGCTGGAAGAGAGATCTGAAGTGACAGAAAACCAAGCGGGAACAGCAGTGTTCTCCCCTCACCGTGGGGCAGCTGGCACACACCTTTGGTCCTGTGCCCGGTTTTGACACTGTCAGTGCGTTTGCAGATACCGCTCAGGCACGAGAGCCCAACCACCCCTCGGTGCCAGGCCCCGTGGGACGCAGAGCCTGCCAGCCTCCTGCTGCTGCCTTCCCCATGGGCACCCAGCTCCTGCCCGCCCCTTCCCCAGCTCCATGCAGGGTGGCACGGCCGGGATGGTGCCTTGTCCCGCAGAAATAAAAACGTTTGCAGCTTTCTGCTACTTGCACACACACTTCATCTAGGAGAAAAAAAAAAAAAAAAACCAAACCCAAAACAAAAACAAGGCAGCAGGCAGAGCCTGGCATGGGCTGGTCTTTTAACCCCACCACAAGAGAAGGCAAGGAACAGGGTGTTTGAATATACGCCCTGAATCTTCAAACGGGTTTACGGCCACAGCACTCGCTTCACACAGGCACAGGAGCCAGCCTGTGCCGAAGTGGGGTGCCATGGGGTGGTACTGCTGCTCTAAGCTGCCTGTGCTGAGCCAGACAGCCGACAGACAAGGCCCGAGGTGTCTGAGCATCTGCTGTGGGTGCAAAAGGAGGGTAAGGCTGGTGGAGTGGCACTGCCACGCTCCTGGTACAGCTTGGGGCGAGCTTTGCCAGGAAAAAGCCTCGAGTCACGGTCCTCGCTCTCCAACAGCAAATGGTTCAAGTCTTGCTGCTCTGAAGATCTGGTGATAGCAGCTCCCCATCCTTTTCCCCTCACCCCCTAGAAAGCTCTGCTCTGGAAAGTTCAGTGGACTGAATTGGACAACAGAAATGGTGGTGACAGCAAAACAGTGTGCATGCATGTGTGTACACAGACCCCCTCATGCACAGCCGAGAGTTGGGGTTAGCTTGACTGTGCAGCTCTTTCTGCAGAAACAGCCTAGGGAAGGAACAACCCTACATGTAATTCTTTTCGCTTAAGCATCTGCTTTACAGTTTCATTCCTACCAAATATTTGCTAACCTGCAAGCAGAGTATGCTCTGATTTCCATTGAAAAACAAACTTCATTTTCCTTTCCCCCACAAAAGCGTTTGTGCTTTCTCTGAGCTGGTCCATACGTTGCTGGTTTGGAAGACACATTCGTTTCTGTATCGCTGCTGATGGCAAGGATGAGAAAGGGTTTCACAGGCCAGACTGAACCCAGGTTGTCCAACGAGATAATGCAGTCAGGCTGACTAAAGGAGAGCTGCTCTTCATGCTGAAGATTTATGAGATGACAGCATTTGTACTTGGCTTCAAAGTCCCTCGGCTTTTCTATTAATGTTTCCATCCTGGAACAGACAGACAGAATCAAACCCTTGTTTACATAATTTAGCATTCATAAAAGCTCTCTGTGTATCCCTGACAGCAAAATGAATTCTGCAGTAAATGGATCTGGCAACTGTACAGGCAGCAAAAGCACGTGATTTTGGCTGTGGTGGCTTTCCTAAGGGAAGGCATCCATCTGGGAATCCCCCTCTGCCCCCAGCCCCATCCACAGTCCAGAGCCCGAGGAGGATGCTGCTCCCTGGGGAGTCCTTACTGGAGGATGGGGAAGCTCCGCTCCCTTCACCCCGCCTTGGGTGGAGGGGGAGGGAAACACATGCAAGCCCTGGGTCTAAAAATGGTAAGGCCTTTTGTTTCTGAAATTCAGATCTCGCAACTGTTTCCAGCTCACAAATCAAAGGCCGAGGCTAGCAGCTGCCAACCGCCCTCACAGCTTCGCTGTGGAAAATAAAATTCTGCTGTGCTGTGTTTGCAGTCTTCCCTGCTCCCCACCCTAAGAGCAGAACGAGGAGGGAAGGGAAGAGTTGCATTATTTCAGCAAAATCGGTTTCTGCAACCTCAAGAGCAGGACAGCAGGGTGTCCTCAGCTTCAAGGATGAACACAAACATTAGCTTTACACCAAAAAGAGCAACGATTCTCACAAAGAGCTTTTCCTCTTAATCGACGATCTTAAAAGTCTTTTCCAAC